TTGATGCAACTATTTTCAGCTCAAATTGTAAAACATTTTCTATTTTTTACTAGAAGAATATTATTTTCAGATTGTCTGGGCTAACAGTGCCTCTCACCAAAGAAATAATATATAAGGCCATTAACTTTTATTGTGGTTTTAAAAATCAAATTAAAGAAGGCTTAAACATGAGAGTTTCTGTATAAGCTGATGAGTAACATATGATTAGCTGCTTTACTTGGCTAGCGCACTGCTTTGAACTGATAAGTCAAATGAACGATATGTCCCAGGCCGCACCAGGAGAACCGACGAGCAGCCAAAGACCTTCATCTGTTGCCGCAGCAGTGCCCTGTCAGTGAGCAATTACACAAGGAAGAAGAAATGCGAGCGTGTCCTATAAGAGTTTGACAGAAGAGGATGTAACTTGGCAGCAAAGTACAGACTTGCTAAAGGTCAAAACCTGGACTTGGCACTCACATGTCACAAAACTCGCTTATCTAGATGTTTTAAAAGTGTCTTCCAATGTGCCCTGCTTATCAAATAGCAAAGCAAGAAAACAAGAAACATTTGTTACACTTTACTGCAATTTAGCAGGCTGCTCTTGGACTGGGTGGCCAGTGCATAGAAAGAAATAGGATTGCAGGTCATTATGAGGAAGCTAAATAAGCCTGACTCAAGACATGGTAGGAGTGGGCCTTACCAAGGATGTAAGGGATCGGAGCAAGAATGTGACATCAACTTAGGTGTCTGGACCATCAGGTGGTGTTATTAGGTTCTCTCAAGTTGTTTCCAACTCTCAGTGACCTTATGCACACCAGATAAGAAAATCTGATTCGACATTATTCCCACAATCTCCATTTTTGCAATCGCTGTGTCAACCTACCTCTTTGAGCATTTTCTTTTCCTTTGCTGACTTTCTCATGTTACAAGCATGACATCCTTTTCCGAGGACTTGTCCCTCCTGAAAACATGCCCAATGTGTGTGAGATGAAGTGTCACCATACTCATCTCCAGGGAGCAGCCTGGCTACACTTTTCCCAGACAGATCTCTCTGTTCTTTTGCCGGTTCCTATTGTAATAATATCCTTCACTAACACCACAGTTCATAGGCATTAATTCTTTAGTCAAATTTACACAAAGTCCATCATGAGAAGAAGGGAGTCCACTGTACATGGCAAAGATAACTCATCTGGGAAAACAATAGACCCAGCAATGTCTGAAGAAGTTAGTAGAGTTATGAATTCTCAGCAAGACACACATTCTGACCCAGAAAGAAGTACAGCACTGTGGCTACTGAAACACCACAGAGAAGTAGGTTTCAATGTTCTGCTGTTAGTGAGCTATCCTGAAAAAATTTACTGAGACAGAATCTAAATGACATAATACTGTGTCTATGTGCTTATTGCAGGCACTTAGTTCCCTTCTTACAAAAGCAAGAGTCAGTGATAGATGTTGATATTTTGCATGCTCTATCATCCATCTATCTATCTATCTATCTATCTATCTATCTATCTATCTATCTATCTATCTATCTAATCTATCCATGTTGTTGTTAAGTGCCATCGAGTCACCTAAGATTCATAATGACCCTATGTACAACAGCCCTAAACCCTGCTCCATCCTATGCCAATCTTACTGTCTCCAATACACCTACCCCCATTACCTCAGTCACTGAATCAATCCATCTTATCTAGGGTCTTTATCTCTTGAGCTGTCCCTCCACATACACAAGCACACACACATACACACGTGTGTGTGTGTGTGTGCGCGCGTTTTCTTACCCTCCCGCACTCAGGTCTCATTTTACTTGTGATTGCTGTGATGCTGAACACGGCGACACTGATGTGTCAAGTGTGATAATGGTTACTCATGGTGGACAATGTTTGGTGGAGCTCCCTGATTAAAACAAGCTTGGAAGCAGGAGTGGCATCTACTTCCAAAATAGCATGCCTCTAGAAAATTTATGAAGGTGGAGAAACTATGAAAGTTATACAAATGTTTAGGTCTTTCATTCATAGGGTCACTAAGAGTCGTCTATGACTCGATGGCACTTAACAATAAAAACAACATGTGTAGATTTAGATTTAGATATATTTTCTCTCTCTCTGACCCTCTACCTTTCCCAGAATGGCATAATTTTCCAAGGACTAATCCCTCTTGACAACATGCCAAATGTATGTGTGACTATTTTATTATCCTTGCCTCTAAGGAATACACTGGTTGCATTTCTTCCAAGACAGACTTGTTTATTCTTTTAGCAAACCATGGTATAATCAACACTCCTCACCAGTATCACAATTCTAAGGCATCAGTTCTTCTTACATCATCCTTATTCATTGTCCATCTTTCAGATAAATAGGAAGCAATTGAAAATGGTATGGCTTGTATTGGGTTCACCTTAGTCTTTAAACTGATGTCCTTGCTTATTAGAACTTTAGGGAGATTTCTGACAGCTTATTTTCCCAATGCAACACATTTTTTTTTATTTCTTGACTTCTATTATCACAGATACTGGTTGTGGATTATAATAAAAGGATATCCTTAACAACTTTTTAATTTTTTCTCCATTTATCATCATGTCTACTGGTCCAGTGGTGAGAATTATTTTTTTTCTTACTGTTGAAATGCAATGCACAGTGAAGGCTGTAGTCTTTGATATGCAACAAGTACTTCAAATCTCTTCACTTACAGCAAGCAAGGTTGTGTCACCTTCATAACATAGGTTGTTGATGAGTCTTCCTCCCATCCTGTTGTCATATTCTTCTGTAGTACTAAATAATTCACTCAGCATACAAACTGAGACTAGAGAAAGGACAGAGATAATTCTTTGCTATCAAGAGGGAGCTCTGGTGGCGTCGTCTGTAGGGAGTTGAGTCATATTCATCAGCTGATCCACAGCAAAAAGATAAGTAAACTCCACTTATGTGATTTACAACCTGAGAAACCCAAGGAATGGTCAGCTATTAGCTGGCTTGACAACAGTATGAGTTGCTATTAGATTGATCTTGACTAATAACAATCATAGAGGGCAGAGTATAATCACCCCATAGGCTTTCCAAGATTGATTATAATCATTATGTAAGTAGATCACACATCTCTTTGGTGGTAGATTTGAACCTCTGGAGATGCAAGCCCTTTGTGTTAGCACTGTAACACATGACAGACCACACACACACACACAGACACAGAGTTGTTGTTGTTGTTGTGTACCATAGAGTCAGAACCGACCCCAATGCATGGCTGATTGTCCAGCAGGTTTTCAGAGGCAGTAAATCTCACAGGAGGAGATTGCCCATCCTTCCCCCATGGAACAGATGGTGGCCTCAAACCACATGACTCCGATTTTGAAGTGACTCATACTTGACCCTCCACTGAGTTCTGAGGATGTAAAATACATGGCAAAGGATTGTCCGTCTTTCTCTGGCAGAGCTGCTCTCACCAGAGAAATGCATTCATTGAGCTAGCAGCGTGATACATCCCCCAAACCAGAGCTACTGCTGTAGAATTGATTTGAACCGGTTACATCAGTTTCTGAAGTTTAATGGACAGATTCTGCGTCACCTTTTCTATGGAAATACTAGCCAGTTCAAACTCCCAGCCTTTAGGTTAGCAGCCCAAGAATAACTTATAGAGCCACTAGGACTCATTTATATATGTAACTGTTGTTTGTCTCTCTCTGTGGGTCTCTTGTCAAATAGATTCCAATTCATAGAGACCCAAAGCACAAACAAATGAATTGTTGTCCATTTCTGAACCATCTTTAAAACTGTTGCTGTTTCTATGTTTGAGCCCATTGCTGAAGCCACTGGAACCATCTATCTCATTGAGGGGCTTCCTATTGCTTTCTTTTTTCTTTTTTTTTTTAAGTAACACAAGACTCATTATCCTCATTCTAAGGAGCATTCAGGTTAGTTCTCAAAATGATTTCTTTCGAACACATTAAAGCAGCAGATTTTCCCAGTGCAATACGTTATTAGAGTTTTTGACTACTGCTTCCTCTGGTGTTGATTGTCGATCTAAATAAAACAAAACCCTTCACAATTCAACCTTTTCCCTCTTTATTGTGTTATTTACTGGTCCAGTTGTGAATATTTTTGGTTTCTTCATGTTGAGATGTAAGTAATTAAGTGTGTGCTTCATGTCATCTCTTTTTTTATTGCTTTCTTTAATCCTAATGCTGTTTTTTTATAGTCAGGTTTCTTGGATTATTTGCTTAGTACATAGATGGAATGAGTTTGATGAAAGCATGTACATTATTTTGTCATCAGATATTAGGATTGTGGGTGTGTATACCATTTATTCTTCAACTTAAATTTTGGGATGTGTTTTATGTCTTTACTAGATTTAAAATTCTTAGTAGTAGGAGATTTATATATAATCTCAATGATATTTTTCAAGTAGCACTCTATTTTTTTTCCTTACAATAAAAGTAACGGCAGCTTGATTAGGAAAAAATGAATCCCAGAGAGTGAGATAGGCCATTTCTCCAAAATGTACCAAGTAGTACTCACTTTATAAGGAGTCCTGGGGCTCAGTGGTTCAGTACTTCTGAGAGGTAAGGGTTCTAGCCCTCTAGTCACAATGCAGGAAGTGAGGTGTAGCAATTTGCTTCTTTAAGAATTTACAGCTTTCAAATCCGTATAGGCTATTTTACCCTGTGCAATGCTGTTTTTGTTGTTCTTCTCATAAGGTTTCAGAAAGTCTGGAATCCTTGGGAATTTGAAAGTCTATTCTGTATTTTCAACCTTTTGATTACTATATTTCTATAGAATCTTTGATCAAAATTGGAACTGGTTTTAATATATCACTAACACGATGGTATAAAACACACATGATTATATTTTACCAGTTAAATGTATTTTCCCCCTCCATATGTTTAGTCTGAAATCTTTCAAGGTATATGCCTTGCATTCTGTGATCAGTAAGTGCTGTAGAAATCTATTTGTTTATTTTGTCTGAAATTTACTGAACATTTCGTTTCTAGTGTTGTGTTGTGTGTGTTTTTTTTTTTCAACTTGCAGATGCTGACAGTCGCAGAACTTATACTTTAACTGATTATTTAAAAAATACTTTTAGAATGAAATACTACTCCCTACGGTGGATTTCAGGTAATTGGGGGGTGGTGCAGATCTTTATGATTGTGTTCACTCTAGTTTAATTATGGGAATTTGTATGGTATCAGAAGATATATTACTCATTCTTTAAGAGCTCATGGGAGATTATCTCTGTTTAAGAACCTTATAAAACACAATGTATGGGAATGATTATATGAAACACAGTGTGAATGCAGGAATGGATGAAATGCAACATGCATGAATAAAACACAGTGCATATGAATTTTGTATGCAAACCAGTATAACATTTTTAAAAATGTGAAAAAAAAGAACAAGTGAGAGAAGTCAGAAAGAAATCTTAGTCTTTTATGTTGCTAGTTTCACTCAACAACTCTGTGTGACAGATTTGAAACTTCTTTGAGGTAGAGATACCAGCTATCAATTGTTTCGTTAGTAATTGAGCACTGAACTATATGCCAACTAGGCTCCTATTTCTTTTATAAGTAAATAAAACCTTAAATGTGAATTAAAACCATAGCAATGAAGGAGAAATGAATGTACATCAGTGTAATACTCATCTATCACTAATGTTTTGGTTGGTGGTTTTTTTAATTTTAGAAGTGTTTATTTGATATTTCTGAGAACTTACATCTAATTTTTTTATAGCATATAATTTACTTTTAGGAGATACTTAAATGCAACTCACAATATTGACCTGGCCCTTTTCTTTCTTTAGATCATGAGTACCTCTACAAACAAGATAATAATATACTGCTCTTCAATGCAGAATATGGAAACAGCTCCGTTTTCTTGGAGAACAGTACATTTGTATGTCTCATCACATAATTAATTCATGCTTTGGGGAAATACTGGGAATTTTTCTCATAACCTTTTCAAATCATGAGGACTCATCTTGTTGGACTCTCTCTTTAGCATATGGCACAGAGGATCTTTCTCTCCTTGAAATGTTCCCTGCTTTGGCTGCTCTTCCATCCTCTTCAATAAGTCCTTCTCTGTTCATACTCTTAAATGTAAGTGCTGCTCAGGGCTCAGTCCTCCCTAACTCACTTTTTTTCTTTTCGCTTTGCATGCTTTCATTCACTGGCTTTCACTCATTCCCACAACATTTGCTTTTATGCCTTTGATTCCATATATGCACTTTTAACACGACCGTCCTCCTCCCTACATCTAAACCTCCATTTCCGATAGCTGCTTGCATGTGGATAGCCTTCAGTTAGTTATACTCAGTATCCCTAGCTAAACTCGTGGTCTCCTTTCCTTTCCTGACAAGCCCAAAGCACCTTATTACTCTTCCTGAGTCCCCAGTCTTGATAAACAGTATTCTTCTCCAAGACAGTCAAGCTAGAATGCTCAGACCATTTTTCACTCCCTCTCTGTCAGCTCCTATGTGTAGCTACCTGACAGTCCCAGGTAGTCCATCTCTGCCATGCCAGGCATCTCTGCATTCCATTTTCGCTGCATAGTCCTTCTCCAAAGTCTTGTCTAATCTTAGAGTAGTCAGTGCTCTCCCCTGTGTCTCTATCTCACTTCTGTACATCAGGATCACTGCACTGAATAAGCCCAGGGCAAATGGTAACTCCTCTGCTCAATTCAGCTACTGTGTCACTGTAGCATCGCCATCAGATAGAACACATTCTTTCACTTCCATGCACAAAAAAAAGAATTAATCTCTCTACTCCTATCTATGTCTTAGCTATTGTTCCTTTTTTTTTTTGTCCATTTACCTTCCATTTCATCCAACACACCTTATATGCAGGTAGCACATAACCCTCAACCATTCTCTGAACAAGCATGTCTTTTCCTGTGGTTTTTGCTAGTGCCTTTTCCTCTTAAGAAAGTCCTCTCTATCACCAGCTCTCATCCTCATGGCTGTCATTCCTCAATTAGAATCTGTCCTTCCCTCTGGATCACCAACACTGACCAACATCAGCATGGCATCATGGTGATTTGTGTGAGTGACTGGGACTCCTGTAGACTAAGCATTTCCAAGACATGAATCACGTGTCTGGAACAGAACCCTCCACACAGTAAGTTCTTAAAGGTATCAGTTGAGTTTTCAGTTGTTCTTTCTTTCCCTCTTTGATTGACAGGATCAATTTGGATATTCTACACATGATTACTCAGTGTCTCCTGATGGACAGTTTGTTCTCTTAGAGTACAACTACGTGAAGGTAAAGGAATGCTTTCTTACAACCTTTAATGAATTGCATAAAGATGTTGTCTTATAACTGGATTCAAGGCTATGGATATTTAATGTTGGCTTTTAAGTAATACTTTTACTTTTTTAAAGTATTACTTTTAAGTAATACTGTTGTTGTTGTGTACTACTGAGTCAAACTGACTCATAGCGGACCATTCAGTGGTTTTCAGAGGCAGGAAATTGCAAGGAAGGAGATTGCCCATCCTTCTGCAGAGCAGCTAGTAGATTCGAGATTGCAGTGTAGCTTCTTGCCACTAGGCTGTCAGAGCATGTTGGTGTTTTGTGCACTAAAACTCATTTTAGACAAAGTTTTGTGTACTAAAAATGCATTAATTCAGCATCTGAAAGATGAACAGCCATTCTTCCTCTGAAAGTCAAGCTGAAAGGATGTTTTCAAATAAATGAATTTTCAGTACTTTGAAATACTGAAAAGTATCATTAACATCGTATCCTAAGTACTAATGATGTAAGTCAATAATAACATTTTCAATAGGCTCTTATAACCTTAGAATAAGTTCAGGTATCAGATTTCTATGCCCATTGCTATTATCACTCACTTTCTTTGTCTCTGCTTTATACATAACTTTTTTTTTTTTGCTTTATACATAACTTTTATCTCTTTCATTGCCATTGAATGAGAGCTGCTGACTCTGCAGTGGGTTTTCAAAAGCTGTAAATAACATGGGGTGACATTGCTCATCCTATGGGGCAGCTGGTGAATTTGAACTGCCTACTTTTGGGTTGACAGTGCAACTCCTTACTCACTAGATCACCAGAGCTCCCTCTTCATATATAGTAAGATTCTCAGTAAGTATTTGTTTCGCAAAGAGTTAAACTTTCCATTCTCCAAAAGAGGCTCTGTAAGGTGACCTGACCATCCTCCTGTCTTCAGATCCTGTCAGTCTACAGAGACGAGTCTCAGTACTAGTGTCACCACAGTCCTCCAGAAACCCCTCATCTTCACCCGGTCATTCAGCCCAACATCAAATTGTCACACATCTAGGAAAAGATTGCAGTTTAATCACACATATTCTTCATATTTAGGATATATGTGAATCTCCAGTAACTTTAACTGCAAGTTGAGGGTTATTTTTATAAGCTTAATAACGGTCTTAAAAAGTTGAAAAATGTACGAGAGATAAAACAATCTTATAGAGTTGTTCTGCATTGAAAACAAAATATAAAGCTGGTGACTTCCACTGCTGGCTTTTTTTAAGATGGATAATATTAAATGGCCTTATCCTACACTAATACTGCTGCATCTAAGCCAAGCAACCCAATCCATCTTTGCCGTCTTTAGATAGTAATGCTCAATCATAATCTTTGCCTTGAATTCACTGTGCTGGATTCTACCTTCTGGATGTGAAGACTCACTGACCATGTTCACCAAACTAATACATCATAAATTATCAACAGTTCAGAATTCTAGATCTGCTTTCATATCTGTTCCTATAATAAATACTTGTTTAATTCAGTGACTCTCTATGCTGTCTATAGATTAAAATGATTGAGGAGTTAAAAAAATCCCCAGTGTTGAAGTTCAATCATCATTATCTTCAGTGAATTGAAATTATGGACAAGGGTGTGGCTCCAAACTATGTCTTACAATCCTTGTAGAGCCTTGTTTAAGTTATATCATTTGTATACTTAAATCCGCCAGTAGTTTACTTAGAATAAATACAGACTCTAACTGTGGCCTACTTGGAGGCCTGTGCAATTGGATCCTACTTTGCCCCTCTGAATCACTGTGTTGGACCAGTGGCTTTCATCCTTGCCTCCCGTTGAATTATTTGAGGGGGGTATTTAAAAAGTACAGATGAATGTCATCTACAGAAGTAATTAATTCAGTACAACTATAATTAGGATCCAAGCACAGGCATATACAGCTTCAAGGTAAGTCGGTGTCTCTAAGATTGAGGCATTGCCTGTCTTTCCCTTAAAGCATCATTCTCATTCCCAAAGGCAATGAGTCAGTGATTGCATCTTTCTGGTACCTTCTTCCTTTTATTTTAACAAGACTCTCCTCTTTCTATTAATTCAAGTACAGACATTTTGGGGTAACTATAAAATTCATACAAGCGTTAGAATAAAACGTTGTTGTTGTGTGCTGTAGAGTTGGAAACAACCCACACCTGACCCTCCAGAGAGTTTCTAGAGACAGTTAATTGGATGGGAGGAGACTTCCCATCCTTCTGTGGAGCAGGTGGTGGCCTTGAACCACTTGCCTTTGAGATTACAGCACAGCTTCTTGCCACTAGGCCACCAGTGCTCCCTCATAAAACATTGTTGTTGTTGTTGTTGTTATGTGCCATTGAGTCATCTGCAACTCATAGTGGCCCTATGTACAATAGCCCTAAACCCTGCTCTATTGAGTACCAAACTCACTGTCTCTGACACACCTACCTTATTACTCCAGTCACTGAGTCAATTCATCTCATGGAGGGTCTTCCTCTCCTGCACTGTCCCTCCACCCTCCCAAGTATGATGTCCCTCTCCAAGGACTGGTCCCTCCTTGTACCATGGTCCAAAGTATGTCGGACAAAGCTTCAGAATCCTTGCCTCCAAGGAGCAGCCTGGTTTAAACCTCTCTAGGTTGAACCTGTTCATTTTCTTAGCAGTCCATGGTGTATTCAAAACTATTCTCCAACACCACAGCTCAAAGGCATCAATTCTCCTTCTATCATCCCTAGTCATTGTCCAGCTCACTGATGCATAACAAATGATTGCAAAGACCATGACCTGTATCAGGTGCTCCTTAGTCTCCAGAGTGACATCACTGCTCTTCAGAATTTTGGAGAGGGCTCTAATAGCAGACTTTCCCAACGCAATAAGTCTTTCAATTTCCTGGCTGTGGAGCCAAACGAACTAAAGCTGCTAACAATCTCAATCTCTTCACCATCTATCATGATGCTGCCAATTGGCCCAGTGGTGAGAATCTTTGTTTTCTTGATATTGAGCCTCAGTGCATATTGAAGGCTGCAGTCCTTGACCTTCTGCAGCAAGCTCCTCAGGTCCTCCTCAGTTTTAGCAAGCAAGGTTGTATCATTTGCATGACACAGATTGTTAAGTCTTCCTTCAATCCTGATGCCACATTTCTCCTTATACAGCCCAGCTTCCTGGATGGTCTGTTTTGCATACAGATTGAGACGGTATGGATATCAGACACATCCCTGGCGTACACCCTTCCCAATTTTGAACCATGCAGTATTTTCTTGCTCTGTTCTTAAGACTGCCTCCTAGTCCAAGTATAGGTTTTGCATCAGCATGATCAAGTGTTCTAGGATTCCCATTCTTCTCAGAGTCAGCCACAGTTTGTTGTGATCCACACAGTCAAACGCCTCTTCATAATCAATGAAACACAAACTGATACTTCCTGCTTTCAATCAAGATCCATCTAACATCAGCTATAATTAGATCATATAATTATTGAAATAAAGAACTGTGTCTTCTATTATCCTTTTTACCTCTCAGTGTCTGTGTAGCATAAATATGTGAAATAATCAACTCTCAAAAACTACATCTAGAAAAAAATGAAAAAGCAACATAAAGTCCACTGTCCATTGTTCTATAGATCCTATAACATGACTTCTCAATGATTGAGTTAGTAAACTCAAAATAATCAGGGGTTACTTCTGAGGTGAGGTTACAAATCAAGAGTGAGTGAAGAAATAAGTGAATTACTATCATGTAATCTGGTATGAATGTTTTCCTAGCATTGCCATCCACTGCCAAATGCTCTAAAGATAACAATGATAATAATAATGATATTATCATCTATTACATGAGTAAAATGTCCTCTTAAGCATTTTACATGCTTTTTTATGAACTCAAGACTGCTACTTTTATTACTTCTCCTGAGAAGGAAATAAAAACTTATAAAGAATATTGCCTTTACATGACACAATGGAGACTCGAATCTAGGTTCTGGGACTCCAAAAATTATTTTCTTAGATATAATCTTTCTTACTTTTATATTTCTTTCTACTACAATGATTTCTCTGCCCTGTCATCTGGTACGTAAACTCAGGTCAATAATAATATTTTTTCTTAAAACTTTTCTCCCTTTCCAATTAGTTCATAATCCCTGCTTCATCTCACAAAGAGCCCCAGTGGCACTGTGGTTAATGCTAACCAAAAGGTCAGTGTTTCAAACTCACCAGTTACAATGGGGCACCTCAATGAGGCAATCTGCTTTAGTAAAGACTTTCAGCCTTGGACATCTGTGAAGTTCTCCTCCTCTGGCCTACCAGGTAGCTCTAAGTGGGTATTGTCTAATATGGAAATGGGTTTGGCTTTAAGTTTGATCTCTTCCCACCCATCTTTATTATATTTTTTGGCACATACTATTTTGACTCTCCTTGTTTACTTGTCCATATCTCTTTTCCAACTGTAAGTTCCTCAAAGAGAGCACTTGCTTTAATCAGTGATGTCTGATATACGATAGCTGCTAATGTTGAAAGACCAAATAATCTTCCTCAAAAGATGAAGCACACATAACAAATACCATGGGGATTTTTAATAACTCATTGCAGCTTTATTATCCTAAAGGAATTTCAGTCCTTCTTAAGTCTGTTTACAGACTTAACTTTCACCACACCTTTGGGCTCTAGTCCAGCTCAAAGTTGTCTAATAATAGCATGGGGTATTAGGATAATCCAGGAATCCAGATGAAATCTGTGGTCTTCAAAAAACTGAGAGCTTAATAAATATGTGATGACATGAGAAGGTAGGAAGGTACGAAAGAGTCAGTAGAAAGATTCTTCAGTGTTACAAAGGTTGACTTTGTGTCTCAGTGCTTTAATTTCAGAGATGGATAATTTGGGATATCTGTTTCATCACTGTTGGTAAATAAAAATAGAAATTTGAAATTTTCTTTAATTTGGTTCATTTCTTAATGGTCTTGGCTGTCCTTTGTTCGGACCAGTAGTTAAAGGGAAATAAAACACTATTTTACTTCTGTAAGTTGATGGCACTTAACAACAAGAAGTTTGAAATACTATATAAGATGGAAAAGAGACACCACACAATTTCTTTTCAAGTATTTTTATTTAGTTTATACATGCATTTACATCCAAAGATTTTTTTTGTAATGAAATTATCCATTTTATATTTTTTTAAAAAAATTTCTAGTTTTCTCTCTTTTTGCTTGGCTTTCTTTTTCTCATCTGTATCTCTGCCATCCTGTGTTAATAGTCTTCTGTGTACTCCTTTTTTTATACTTCCCTTTTTATTCATATAGCTATATAACATGTATAAGGATTCTTTTTAGATGTTATTTTTTTCTTTAAAAAAAGACTCATATTGTTTGTTTTGGTTTATTTTTAAAGATATATGTTTATTTTCTTTTATAACGGTTTGAATACAGAATTCATACACATTGTGTTTTACTCATTCCTTCGTTCACTTTGTGTTTCATATGATCATTTCCATACATTGTATAAAGCCCGTCACCATTGATCTTCACCCATTATCACCCCCTCTTTCCAGGTCACACTGGATCTTTCCTAAGTGCGTTCCTCTTTCCCTACACACAGCTTACTCTGCAGCCTCATGATTCTCTCGCTCTCAGACTCCCCTGCCCCCACCTCTCCCCTTCATATTTATATAATACATCTTAAACTGTTTTTCTTAGCCAACAACACTCATCTAGTATAGTTCTATTTTTCAGTAGCTGTAAATATTGCATTATATTTTTTTAACATTCACTATGTGGAAAGTCTGCTGTTAGGGACCTCTCCAAAGTGCTGAAGAGCAATGGTGCCTCTTTGGAGACTAAGGTGCATCTGATACAGGCCATGGTCTTCGCAATCACCTGTTATGCATCAGAGAGTTGGACAATGACCAAGGAGGATAGAAGGAGATGCCTTTGAGCTGTGGTGCTGGAGAAGAGTACTGAGAATACCATGGGCTGCTAGGAAAACAAACAGATTTGTCCTGGAAAGGGTTAAACCAGGTGGCTCCTTGGAGGCAAGGATTCTGAGGCTCCGTCTAACATACTTTGGACATGTTGTGAGGAGAGACCGGTCCTTAGAGAGGGACATCATGCTTGGGAGGGTGGAGGGACAGCGCAGGAGAGGAAGGACCTCTATGAGGTGGATTGATTCAGTGACTGGGATTGGCACAGGACAGAGTGGAGTTTAGGGCTGTTGTACATAGGGTTGCTATGAGTTGCAGGCGACTCAACGGCACATAACAACAAGAACATGTTGTAGGCTGTAGCAGTGTATTATATAAGTATTCTATGACTATATGAAGTTCTGGTGGCATAGCCTGTGGAAAGTTGCACTGTTAACCCGAAGGCAGCACTTCTCTAGTGATTAGAATCAATTTACAGCTCCATAGGAGAAAGGTGGGCAATCTCCCTCCTTCACCCACTTGACCCCTCTTGGCAATTTACAGACTCCCAAAAACTCTCTGGAGGATCAGTTCAGATCAGAGTCTGTTCTGACTTGACAGCATTGAGTCAGAGTCTTGAGTTTGGTTTATAGATCAGTCTAGAGTTTGTACTATATGGTCCCTAAGATACCTCCTCACACAAGCATTGTAGCATTCCAGATAGGAAATAGTAACATGGTAAGATTTGAAATTTACACAGTAAAATATCACCTAATCCATACAAGTTGCTTACCAGCAATGTTTTAAGAGTCACAGAAGCCTAAAAGAATCTGTTTTCTTTTACAGCGATGGAGGCATTCTTATACAGCTTCATACGACATTTATGATATGAATCAAAGGTCAGTGACTTCCTCATAAATTCTATTAGGTTTTTTTCATATAATGTTGTTGATTGCCTTCAAGTTGAGCATGACTCATAGTGACCCTATGAACAAAAGGCCTGAAGCCTTTCTGTAACTATTGACATTTATCAACATTTATAAAAAGGAAAATGTCACAATGATTTATTCTTTTAGTAATGTTCCTTTTCTTTCATCTTTTTTCCAGGCAACTGATTACAGATGCGAGAATTCCAAACAACACACAGTGGATCACGTGGTCACCAGTGGGCCATAAATTGGTTAGTGAATATTTACTGTTGTCAGATATTTCATATGTGGAAACTTGTAGACCTGATACCAAACTGTGATTGTAGGATGCCAGTAATTCACTATAAAATACAGTTATTGCTCAAGATAATTTCATATTATTCTAACAATTAATATAACTTCTGAAAGTTTCTCATCGACCATTTAGAAATTGTTTATTCACTGAGAAACTGCTTATTAAACTCTTAAAGTCTAGTAAGCTATTGTGCTTGTTGTTGTTGTTGTTATTGCCATTGAGTCGCTTGCAACTCATAGCGAATCTATGTACAACAGCCCTAAACCCTTCTCTGTCCTGTGCCAATCTCACTGTCTCCGATACACCTACCCCTTTCACCCCAGTCACTGAATCAATCCATCTCATCGAGGGTCTTCCCCTCCTGTGCTGTCCCTCTACCCTCCCAAGTTTGACATTCCTCTCCAAGGACTGGTCCCTTAGATATCATTAATTCACACCTGCCTTCTGCTAGTTCTGTGATCTTCTCTGTATAGATAGCTCTTCCTACCTCTCTAGTGCTAAGAGAATATTGAAAGCCTGAACAAATCTAACAGGGTTTAGCAGTAAGGAGTACTGCTTTTGATAACATAGATGATGTGTCTCTGCCATTGATATTCTCCTTTCAGCAGGCAATAGTACTGCCCCCGTTCATCTTCACCTAGAAAGAACAGCTAAGTGCACAGTGGCATAAACAGTTAATTCTCAACTACTAGATAACAAATTGGTAGCTCAAACTCACTCGGCAGTACCTGGCTAGACAGCCCTGAAGATCTGTTTCTAAAAGGTCATAGACTTAAAAACCTTAAGAATTCAGTTCTATTCTTCACAAAGTCATCATCATAAATTGGACTTCACTAAACAGCTAACAAGAACTTTGTCTTGTGTTCCATCTTCTAGATATTCTCACATACTTTAGTGTCCAAATAATTATAGCTTCAAGGGTTTTTGCTGTGTGTTGTTTATTGTTGTCGTTATTGTTTTAACATCCTGAGCTCTGGTGGCCTAGTGGCAAGGAGCTGCGCTGCAATCCCAAAATCACATGGTTTAAATCCACCCGCTGATCCGTGAGAAAAGGATGGGCAATCTCCTCTGAAAAATATGCTGGAGGGTCAGCTGTGGGCCAGTTCCAACTCAATGGTATATAACAACAACAACAACAACAACAAACATGTTTTTAAGATTATTTTCCATCATAATGAGAGTAGGTATGTCAGAGACCGTGATATTGGCCCAGGATGGAGCAAGGTTCAGAGCTATTGTACATAAGGTCGCTACGAATTGTGGTTGACTCCATGACACATAGCAATAACAACAACATAATATGTAAAATAGTAATTTAAGAATCATAGAATTGTTAAGGGGAGTGAATTCCTTCATTAGACTTGAATTTAATATCTGACCTATAGTAATGATTCTACTTGCATTAATTTTTTAGGATAAAATGATTGACAGATGCTTTCAGTATGTGTATGTTAATACACATTATAATTGATACTAACCTTTTATATATGCATATATTTATAGGCATATGTTTGGGACAATGATATTTATGTTAAAAGTGAACCATATTTGCCAAGTCAGAGGATCACATGGACTGGAGAAGAAGATGTAATATTTAATGGACTCACGGACTGGGTTTATGAAGGTAGAGACGTTATATGCTTTTCAAATCAGAACACAGTTCAAATTTTCAAAGTGTTTAATTTTTTTAAAAAGGAGTTAACATTTTCTTTTCAATTCGATGCAGTCAGTGTTATTGGAGGTAAGTTGCATTGCAAACCAGCCATCACTCTTTTTTAGAGCTTGCAGCACAGCTTCAGGTGTCTCTGAGATGAAGACATTCTTAACAGTTGGGAGAGAGGCGTATGTCCTCAATGTTTCACAATACTCCTCTTGTCTTTGGTTTTGCTGCAACAAAAGGCCTTTCTGTGTAGGTAGCTTTTCTGCTTTACTGGGGCGTAAAAAAGCATCCAGATTAACATCAGATGTTTTTTTCAAACAGATCTACCTAGCCCAGAAATTATGAATAAAATCTAAATACTCCCATCACACTGCAAAAGATGACAAAATATTGTAGGAAGGTGGGAAAGTAAAGAGAGAAAAATGCATTTTTCATAGAAGAATTTTAGGCATTTGGACTTGGGCAAACCATTTTAAAAAAAGAAAATAATTAGAAAGGCTTGGGAAAAGTGTGTTTTAAATACTATAAATTTTAAAGGGATATTCCCTACATTAATATAAACATCTTTGGGAAGTATTAGAAAACAGTTTAGAATTTTTTAAAGAAATACTAGATAGGCATTTTTATATATTTATAGTTGCTAAGGTAAAAGGCCTCATTGCAGCAGTTCAAGTTCAAACCAGTCATAAGGTTTGCTTCATGTGAATCAGAGAGTCTAACCTTTATTTTATCCTATTATTTCTTCTCCATAGTTAAGACAATCATCTTTCTGCATGATTTAATTTTAGCTCTTACCCAACTGAAGTTTGATAATAAAGGAAAATCTAAACAAACTAAAAGTAAATAAGTTCTGAGGTCTTAGAAATTATTATTTGATAAAAATATATATATATAATGAAATTTAGTAACACTAAAAGAACTGTGCTACACCAGAGAAGTACACAATTCAAGTCTACCAGCTGCTCAGAGGAAGAACAAGGGGCGAACTATCCCGTATAATTTACTGCCTCTGAAAACTCCTAGAGGGTTAGCTACATATGGGTTCTGACTCAGTGATACAAAACAACAACAACAAGTCTTCCAGAGATTATAAAAAATAAAATAAATCTTTTACACCTGGAGGACAACAAGCACAGTGTCCAGGATCACCAGTTTGAACTGGGTAAAGTCTCTTCCAAGGCTTGTGATATTCAGAGAACATTAACCTCCTTTCTCAGTTAGAGATTAGGTGGAGGTATCTCATTTTACCTTTTGAGGACTAAGCCATTCCTGTGCAAGGCTTCACAGCTCCAATGTGGGCCTTACTCTAAAAATGAGCCTCAGCCTCAGGTAGAGAAATATCATGGAGTCACTTTAAATACAACAAGTAAGTTAATTTTACTGAGCGATAGACAATGTCTGTTGTCACAGAGTAAAAGGGGCTACTCTTACATAGTACTACTGGAACAGGACCTAAAGGTTACAGAATTAATAATTGTCTGGCAGACCATCCGGGCAGTTAAAGGCAGGATATCTCAAACCCAGATTTTGGCAGCATAGGATCTGCAACACTAAGTGGAATTACATGATTGGTCAAAGGTATATGCCTTTCAATTTACTACTGGGTGGTCCCTGGATAGTGACAAAACAGGTTTTACTGGTAGCCTATTAGTAAAATTGCTTCTTCACATCATGTCTGTTTCTGGGAGTCCACTATAAAGGTATGTTGATAATTCTGTTTACCAAGACCCTCTTGGCAAGAGCTTGCATTATCTTGCATCCCTTTGACGGTAATGAAGTAGATCCTTTGGGAATATATTTACAATATCCTATACTTGCAATACCTCAGAGAAAAGGAATGTTGGCTTTAGGGTAAATGGTCAAGGCAGCACCAAGGTTAATGGGAAAGGCAGCTTTTAAAACTCCAATTGGGATTCCAAACTCAAGACTTTAAAATGGAGTTAAGTCTCTGTTTTCAGTCTGCGCTATTTACACATAAACCAAGTGCCTCTGATTTTAAACCCATACACAACCTCTATAGGAAAGTTCTTATTGGTTTTGTGCATTTAAAAATGATCTGTAATTAGACAAAAAAGCCACATTATAGGGGTCTACTCTCCAACTGGAGGCATCTTCTCTGCTGTGGCCATGACACTTGCTAGAAATGAAGGAGAGTAGGTTTTAAGAATTTGTAGAACTCATTGCAGTTGAGTCAGAACCTACTCATAGTTTACCTTCCAGTGGGCTTTTGAGGTTGTAAAGGAAAATTTAAAAATTAAAAAAGAAACAAGATGATAAGGCCAGGAACAGGGTCTGATGGACAGCTGTGGAGGGATAGTCACAAGAGTACCCACCTGCTGGCACATGGGCCTGGACTCAACCTCATGTCCTAAATATCAAGGATGATAGAAGAACTGAGGCCTTTGAGTGTGCTGGAGTAGAGCACTGAACAAACCATGGACTGCCAAGAGAACAAACAGATCAGTCCTAGAGAGGGTGAAACCAAGTTGCTCCTTGAAGGCAAGAATTTTGAAACTCTGTCTGACATATTTTGGGTATATTGTGAGGAGAGGGACCAACACTTGGAAAAGGATATCATGTTTGGAAGGGTGGAGGGACAGCTCAAGAGAAGATGGTCCCAGATGAGATGGAACTCGGGTAACAGGGTTAGGTATGTGGGAGACAGTGAGACTGACCCAGGGTAGGACAGGGTTCAGAGATACACAGAGTGGCAATGAGTCACAGGTGACCCAATGGTACATAACAACAACATTACCACCTCTCTGTTTTTACTTTACCTTATTAGTGCCTTCTTTTTTGAAATAATTCTTTATATCTCAGTATAAAATCAACTGTTTTACATTCATATTTAGTAATACAACTATTTTGTAATTAATCTCCTCACCAAAGGCAAAGTCATTGCAATCAAATTGTAATCTACTCATAGCTGATCCTCTAGCTGGCTTCTGGAGACTGTAAATCCCACAAGAGGAGATTTCCCAGAACTCGTGGAATTACTGGTGGATTTGAACTGCTAGAGAGTTGTGGTCTTTTGACTGCTGAAAGGAGACTTTTTGGTGAGAGAAAAGATAAGGATAAAAAAGAAATATATAATTTTCTAAGACAGGGCACTTTCTATCCCTTTAATGAATTAATGCTGGCAATTGCCTTGGGGCAATCCAGAGCACTTCCTTGTGTGGTGGAGAAAAACGAACACCACCAGTTGCTGCTGCTCCTCTCAGGAAGTTCACCCCCCAGGAGGGAACAAAGATGCCAACAAAGAGCACTGGTTCCAGAGGGTGTGAGGAAGACCTGAGTGGCAGGACAAGGAGCAGCACATGTACAGAGAAGAATGCCAGAGATACCTGTACCTGCAGCCAGTTCTGAGTCAGAAAGGGACTAAGGAGCTTTTCCTTCCTTGTCCTTCTTTCCTCTTTATGTTTTTAAATAGGTGAAAATACAGTATCAGTGATCCCCTCACTACTAGGACTTTGAATTTGATAAGAAGTAATTTTTAACAACTGTTTTTCTGATGTGACAAAATATGTTCTGTTATTCCACACAGCCACTTACTTAAAACCACAGACTACGCTCAGTTTCTTCTGTCTAAAAGTCACTCAAAACTCTCAAAATTTGCTGTCATTGGTTTATATTATGCAAGTGCCCCCTTGGCATGGGCTGGAATCAGTGGGTAGAAGCTACAGGGGATGAAATATCAAGGGAGCTTATGAAAAAGTTCTTACTGGAACCCACTTGATTTGAAATCACAAGGTCTAGGTTCCAGTTTTTATTCCAAACAATTTGATCAATCTTTCTAATCTTTCTGTCTCTGTAAAATGGCTTATGAATAGATTTCCATGGCAGTCAATCTAAATAGTAAATAAGAAAGGAGAAGTAGGCTGCCTTCCTAAGCAGTGGGTGTTTGGTTACTTGTTGCTGTTGCATACCACAGAGTCAGAAACCCACAGCTGATCTTCTGGTGGGTTTTCAGAGTCAGTAATCACTCAGGAGGAGATTGCCCATCCTTCTGCCTTGGAGTAGTTTAAGACCTCAAACTGCATGTTTTTGGGATTGTAGGGCAACTTCTTGCCAGTAGGCCACTAGAGCTCCCTTTGCAAGCTGAAATGTCATTCCAAAGATATGTGGTTTGAATCCACCAGCTGCTCCGTTAGAGAAAGATGAACAATCTCCTCCTGTGAGATTTACTGCCTGTGAAAATGCGCTGGAAGGTCAACTATGGGTTGGTTCCAAGTCAGTGGTACACACAACTCTTTTAAAATAAGGAGCTCTAGTGCTGTAGTCAGGAGGAAGTTGTGCTGGTAACCCAAAGGCTGAGCCTTTCTAGTAGTTTGAATCTACCTATGATTCTAAAGGAAAGATGGACAGTCATCTCCCATGTTAAGGTTTATAAATCATACTGGTTTTTCATACAATGATTCATAGACATTTTGTTTTATAACATTAATTACTAATTATGAATTAATGACAATGTCTAATGGACCCCTTATTGTGTATTGAGGGTCACTTCTCACCTATCTATTCACACTTCTCACGTATCTATTAATTTTTATTCCCTTTAGAGAAAGAGTCTTACAATAGAGTTTAAAATAGATAGTATAGCATGGATTTTCCGATTCCGATGGATCTGCGTTTACTGTTGTTAACTCTACTACTTACTAGTCTAAGCAAAACCAAAGCAAAGCAAAGCAATCAAGTCAAAGCAAAAGGAAGAAAGCATGAAGTTAAGGAGCTGTACAGAAGATTTCAAAAGCAAGCACAGGAAGATAATGCAAAGTATTATAATGAAATGTGCAAAGAGCTAGAGTCAGAAAAACAAAAGAAATGAACTCAGCATTTCTTAAGCTGAAGGAACTGAAGAACAAATTCAAGGCACTAGTTGCAATATGTAAGGATGCTATAGGCAGAATATTGATTGATCCAGGAATCATTAAAAGAAGATGGAAGGAATATACAGAGTCACTGTA